GGCTGGGGAGCTGCTGCCTGCCTTGCTCTGCCGCTGACCCCTGTGAGCAGCCATGGCCGTGTCACTTAGCTTAGCTGTGCCTCAGTTTCCCCGCCAGTACGAAGAATAGTCTCCGTGCTTATAAAGTACGTCAAGATCTTTGTCTGGGAATAATTATATAACGATCTAACCATTTTTAAAGCAGTTATTTAATCGCTTGCCATTTAGCTCCTCAGAGGCTGTACAAAGACTGTATCTTGAGACAGAGCTCTACGCAGATAGGTGTCATCTATGTAGCGTAGATGGAATTATTTTAGTTAAAGGATAAAAATCAGCCTTTGTCGCTTTGCTGGCATTTTCTCTTACTCATATGTTAATTTGTACATTGGTGGAAGCATCCAAGTAGTAGTAAAACTGCACAGAAAGAAACAGTGAGCCTTTTTCCTTATGAAAGCAGTGACAGTGGGACATGTCAGAGATTAAAAATGAACTGGACTAGCTGAGGGACAGCTGCCTGGAATTAAGTTAATAAAGCTAATAGCAGTTATGCAACATGTACTTTTTTTTTTTCCTTTTAAGTTTTGTACAAACATTACCCAGTGGTACTGCCCAGGTCTCAGGAGGTAGTTATAGTTCCCTTTTATAGACTGAAAACGAGGACCCAAAAAGATGAAATTTCTCGCACAGGCCACCCAGTTAGCAAGTAGAAGAGCTGGATTCAGAGCCCTGTGGCTTCCAAAACAGTGCTCAGTCTGTTAGAATGGGTTGTCTTATTTAGACCATCTAATTTAACATACCCCATCTGATGTCATGAGGTCATAGGGGTCCTGTCCAGACGATAGCTCTATATCTTCTGAAAGATTTCTTTTTGTGTCACCTTCCCCCAGTCCCCTTTCACTCTGTCACCATAGCTTTTGTATTTACTCTTACCTAGAGATGTGAAGAGCTCATTTGTTGGCTTTGTGATACGGGATACAAACTGCATAGCCTGAAATTCAAGCCATGGGTACGTTATTTTTCAGTGTAAGACACACATAATATTATGTCTTGCCAAATGGGTCAGCCTCTTATTGGCACCATAGGAATCAGCCAGCTGGCTACCCAAATAAAGTAATGTTGAATACTGAAGCTCACTATTTTGCCATCCCTTCTAGTTTCTTTTTTTAGTCTCTTCACGGACATTAGGTAAGTAAATTTTTCAGTGGCCTTGTTAAGGAGGCTGGTAAACACAACTGTTCCCGTTTTACAAAGAAGGCAAGGTAGGACAGTTAACATGAAACTTGGTCAAGGCTGCAGTGGAATAGCCAAGTTTCCAGTTCCTAGTCTGTGAACTCTATGTGGGCCAGGGTCTGGGAAGGCATGAAGCTGTAAGGAACCTTATATCCATGAAGCATCTTCAATTAATTCTGCTTAAATAATATAAAATGCCTTAAAATAAAGATGTTGCATGCCTTTCTATGCTTTCCAAAGTCATGCTTTGGGTTTTCCTCAGCTAATGCTGATGTCAGCCCTTGAATCTAGAGGGAGGATGGCTTTGTGCTATTTTTGGCATGTACAATGAAGCACATACCTTGAACTTAGGTAACGGAAAACTCTCCCTTATCACCTTTAAATGACTTGGGTTATTTATGTTAGTCAGGCTTTAAGGTCCCTGGAACAAATTCTAGGCCTCAGTGAACTCAGCAGAAAAATTCATACAAACTTTAGCATAGCCAGATTTTCTAACATTGTACCAAAAAGAGGGAAAAATCCATTCATACCAGGTATCCTTAAGGAAAAAGTAATTGATCCCAGCAATGAATGGAAAGTTTTCCTTTTTCCTTCATAGAATTATGGGCCAGGCCAGAAGATCTTTGGAAAATCTTCATCGTCACAGAGATATAGAGTAACTGTAGAAATCAAATAAAGAGGGCAATAAATTGAGCAGTATTAGGAGAAGGAGAAGATTTGTTGCTTTCATAATAGCGGAGAGTCTTCTGCTACTTCTGTAAGGAAGACAAAGAAAAAAATGGTTGAACTGGAAAGCTGTACTGGTAGAGCTGAAAAAAATTCAAATATATCCTGATTTGCAACATAAATGTTAAAAAAGCATGTGAAAATAGATTAAATACTGTCCCACAAAGCATCTTCTTCCTTAAAATATCTTTTGTTAAATCCTGAATGGGATCATCTAATTGTAATATCTTAATCTTAGCCAATTAGGACAGGTAGGAAATGAAATTATTAGGGAATTAGGGAATTATTAAACAGCCTTTCAAAATGTAGTTTCTATTACAACCATGATTGCTTATTGCTCTAGTTTTCTAGTTGAAATCGGACATTAGCAAGTGCTTAAGCATGTGCTTAAATTCACTTCATTCAGGACTATTCATGATATAATCACCATTTTTCAGCTAGAATAGCTGAACTGCAGATGGCTGAAGTAGACCAAAACTAGACTGCCAGTTAGCAGATAGCTCTGGATTAGAACAATAACTACGCTTGATTGTAATATGTTGTGTATCACTTACGTGGAACTCTTCCTGACTACATTTCACAGCATTTTGCCCAAGAGTACCTCATATAAAGTTTATAAACAGAAGAAAAATTTCTGGAAGCCATTCCAGAAAAAATCCCTGGACAGATACTGGCTTCTGGATTAAAAAAAGAAAATAGCTCTGCCTTAAAAGCGTACAGACTATTCCTCCAGAATTAAGTGACTTTATTTCAAGACTAGTGTGTACAAGAGATGATTTCGGAATAGCTGAAGACGAATATATCTGAAAATAGCTATTCTGATGCATTTCCCCTTCTAGAAAAACTTGGGAGTATCTTGCATAAATTTCAACTTGCTTTTGTTCTGCTTTTTGTTGTTATTGAGTATTATTGCACAAAACATTTTGGTTGGGACGTTTATTTCATAGGCAAGATTATCAGGCAACAGTTGAAGATTTTAACACTCTCAGTGGGTGAACAATGCAGTCTGATATATTGTATACGCAAATATTACGTATTCTCTTTTATTGGGACATTTTATATGGCTTCCCCACACTTTACTGTCCCAGCGGAATCAAAATAACTGATTGCTTGTTTATTTTCTTATGTACATTTTATCAATGATTAATATATTACTTTTTACTTCCAGAGCTCTGACTTCATTATCTGTAACACTCAGTGTTGACATTGTTTATCCTGCATGTCTTTATCATTTATATAACATCCTCCTCCTATTCTTTCCTAAGAAGCAAGCGTGTCTTATGTTACAAGTGAGTCTTTAGGACCAGATTAGTTATCATAATAGAGATAAATAGAGACAGTAGTCAAGTTATATTAACTATATAACTGAAAGAGTGCAAGTATGATGATGTTTTATTATTCAGATGTTACTTTTTAATTTATTGTTGTGCTTGTTTATCTACAGAAATAATGAGTGGATTGACTTCTGAAGAGCAAATCATGTATGTATAAACGTGTGTGTATTTATACATTCGTGTGTGTGTGTATATATAAAGATAGACATACATATATGTGTATAAATGCATAAATGCACATAGGTGTACAAAACTGACTCTTTCGGGGTCAATCCACTCATTGTATATATGTGTGTGTGTATATATATGTATGTGTATATACATGCACCCATATGTATGTATAGATACGGATGCACCCATTCCCGTAGATAGGAGATAAAAAACAAAGGAGATTTTTGGGAAGGTGTTCATATAACCCCTGTGTGATTTGTAGAAGCCATCTGTACAAATGCCAATGAATATTTTGTTTCGCCCCACAACACATATACTGAATATATCACAAATCTTACAGAAACCCAAAGAAACAGCCAGAAAAGTTTTTGAAAAAAGCATTGTATCTATTTTAAAAGCTTTTTTACCCTCTAAGTTCTATGTTTTAGTGCCGGGATGAATCCACTTGCCAGGATTCCAAAAGGAGAAAAATTATTATCTTAACATGCTTTTTAAATGGGTACAAGAGGGGTTTTCCACACCAGTGCCCAGTGATGAGGTGCAGTAGTCTTGCAGTGCCAGGGGCACGTTTTGTGTCTGAGGGAGGCAGAGCTGCCGGTCCCAGCCAGAGCCCAGGGCTGGAGGTTTGTCCTCGCGCTCCACCCTCGCGGGTGCCCAGCGTGGTGCCGTGCAGGGCAAGAGCTCGGCCACGGATTTCTTTAATGCTCCCTGTTCCCTGGAGCAGCCAAACGATGTGCCTGTGGGGATAACATGCCTGTATGCATGTAGGCACATGTGTGTATAGGTATCTTGCGGTGCTCAGGGGGATACTGGGATCTCAGCAGGTGGGTGGCCGAAAAAGGGCCAACAGCAAGCTCTGGTGTGAGAGAATTGAGAGAAAGTTTGGCACAGGATCCTGATTTCAGAGGACAGGCCCAGCTCTGGGGTTGGTAGCAAGCAGATTGGTTTAGTAAACATCTAGTGAGACCTCTCTGAAGCTTTTTGGGGAGGCATGACTAAATTATGAGAGACATCTTTGGCTGCTTCTGCCTGTCTAAGAGGTACGTTTATTCTTAAAAACACCAGTATGTAAAGCAGTACAGCCTGGAAAGCTGCCACAGCTTTTCATAAGGTAAGTGCACACCGTGCAACATTATCACAAAGCAGTATGTGAAAAGTAGTATAAGGACATGATCTGTTACATGCAGTTCTGCTCTCTAGTACCTCTTTGCTTTTAAGGGTATCTTTTAATGGTTGGAACAAAGGCATAACCCTTCTGTACTTATTATTTGTAATTATTTTGTCTG